AGGTTCAGATGTTTTGGTTTTATTTCCACCAGTTGCACGAAGTCGTACATGTAATGCAGTTATACGTAATCCACGACAACGTTCAGCAACATCTTGTACAGCTAACATAGCAGCATATGGTGATGCTTGATCACGATCAACTTGTACTTTTATTCCACCTGTTACACGAGCGATTGTTTCTTTAATATATATTAATTTTAGAAATATGAAGAAACAAAAAAATCGTCTGACTTTCCGAAAAGATCAGTGACATGAACAAATGTATCATTAAAACTTGCATAAATATGAGCAACACCAAAATTAAGTTCTCCTTCAGCTAATTGTGCACCTAAACTAACTTGTTCTTGTTTAGCCGTTTGTTGCCCTTTATGTGGATCCATTTAATCTGTTTTATATTGATGATCAACAGAGAAAAACAATGATCTAAAATAAATATATCTTTGATTTTTCAAGAAAATTTTCTGTAAAAATAAAAAGAAAGACTAAATCAAAGCAAGCAAGCAAATAAAAAACAAAACTCTTCTTATGGTTAAAAAAGATTAACCAATTAAATTCATTGTTCTAGATACTCCAATTGTTCTACCATTTAATAAAAATTTCATACCAATTGAAACAAGTCTTTTGAACTTACAATCAATTGTACTTCAACATTGTTCTCTAAGCTTTCTGTCACATACACTTGAGCATCATCCACAATTGCAAGAGCTCAGCTTTGGTCCGAGCGCTCCTTGATTACCCTCAAGACATCCACTTATGAATGATCATAACAAGTAAGTTTCGCTTCGTCAACTCACGTCAGAGATAAAAATATGAAATATGTAAATACGTTTAGTCATATTATCGTAACAGATTATCTTAGAAAGTGAATCATTTCTGAAGTGATAATATCCTTTTTTGATAATTTATTTTTCAATTTCCCATAAAAAATTAAACTAAACATAGATTCGATTTTTGAGTTGCCTAGCGAGAATTTCCAGGCTATTTAGAAAGTTTCTGGATATAAAAAGAAATTTATGTTAACATCATTACTACTACTGCTTAAACCGACACAATACGCCATCTATCAAACAACAACATCACTATAGAGATATGTTGATAATATTCGATTGGTTCTGACCAATATTAGACACCAAATATGAAATAAAAAAATATTTTTAAAAATCCAATTATTTCCTCGATCTAACAGACTAAGTTAAATGTTTTCTATTTAGATGTTTTGAGAACATTATGTCGTTTTATCCATCTCGTAACAATCGTTATAATGATTCTGCGCGTCAATGACATAGTGGGAATTCTCGATTACAATCAGTTAATCCTGATGATGATGAGAATATCGAAGGAATGTCTGAAGATTTACAAAAAATCTTTGATGATGATTCGCAATGTTCACATTTATTAAAAAAATTCTTCGTGATGAACGTTCATTTGATATATGTATTCAACATATTCAACAATTTTAAACTTATCTTGAAAAATCTGATAGTAACAAAGTTATTTCAAATATTGTTTCTTATTTCTAATAATCTTTTATTTTAGTTTATTATGAAATTAGCTCAACCGAATCTGAATCTTCTTTTCGAACAATTTCAAGAACGATTTGTTAATTAAATTATCTTTTACTTTCCATTCAGATCTAATGAAACTATTCGATCTGAACTCGCTCGTTGTATTAGATTAATCGTTTATGTCATGCTGAATGAAGGCGAACCAAAGTAGACAATGAAAATTATTTGAATTATACCGTTTTTTTCTGTTTCTCGTTTATTCAAGATTTGCTGAATGAATTTTTGAACGTTTAAATGACGTACGAAAAAAATGATTTTCAAAAACAATTACTTATCGATGCATTTCGTCATAGTATTTTAAATGAACATGAAATCTTATGTTTAACCTCACATATTCAACGTATAAGTGGACAATTAAAAAAATTCTTGAATCAGTTAATCATGCACCATTAATGATTGTTATTATCGATACAATTATTGATCTTTTAGAGAATTTATTCAAAAATATTTCAAGAAATTTTTCTTCTATGAAATTTGAAAAAGAAAATTAGTTTATATTTTTGTTTTTTGTTTCATAGGATATTGTGAATATTCTGATTGGTTGGTATATTGAACCATTACTTACTGATAGAATTCTGAAATATACTGATCAAGCATTATATAAATTTCGTCCATTTTGAATTGAACAAATTCAACTAACGACATTGACTTTATTAGATCATTTTATTGAAGATGCGGATAATTATGCTCAGGGAAATGAAAATCGATATGAATAGAAAGAAAAAATTTTTGGTTGTTTTTTTAATTCTTATAGCAATTTGAATATCAAGAACAAAATGATGAAGAGGATATTATTTCATTTACCGATAAAATTGTTGCTTTATATAGGTAAATATTTCAAAGGAAAGTTGAGACATGCGATAAAGACAATAGATTAACCAATAATAGTTAATATGTGTTGTACTACGATTTTCATAGAATTTCGCTCGATTTGTAAAACGTTCCGTCGGATTTTTTGCATTTAAGTAAAAATACTTTAATGATTGATTCAAACTGACAATCATTGAATTGAGGAAGAATATTCCGGCCATTAGCTACCTTAAGGTGTAATGTGGATCGATGCTTCTAACTCTGAATAAAAGATCGACCTGACTCAAACTCATCTTAGCTTCCAAACAAATTGACTAACCACAAGGATCAATATGCCGTCAACTGTTAGTAACTTTCCCATGCCTAATGACGTCGATGCTCGGTAGTCTATCCCAAACAATTAAACAACTCACTTAGAGGAGCTCATGTGATCAAATTCTAAAATAATGTCTAACGGTCGGGGAAAACTCAAAAGACGACAGGATCATCTTTTGTATCTTCTCTATCGTCCTTTCTCAATATACAATTCTTCTTTTCTATCGGATATACTTATTCTAATATCTCAATCTTAGAAAGGATATGACTACTCATCTACGATAAGTTTCAAAAAATGATCAGTGTAAGTGCGCGAAATTAGTTTGGTGTTTGACCATTAAACTCAAGAGTTATACAGATTACTGCTATAATAATTGACTCCGACGATTAGATATCTTGTGCAGCACATCTACTCGGCTAACCGAAGATATTATATTTCAAAGCTTTTGCTACTGTTCTTCATCCACCTTCCGATGATTTTGCTTGAACACCAACTTTACGTCCAATTGAATATGTTGATAATTGGTTACAAAAATTTGACATAGAACAGCAATAATTAAACAAGATAAATCCTTTTGCATTCTAGCTAAACATGTCAATATAGCTGTTTGTATTCTATTGGGAACGTTTGCACAATTTGATGAACAACTTGAAAAAGATATATTTCATTTTATTATTCAACAAACTATTTTTCATACACAAGATTGATCATATAAAGCCGATGCTAATTTACTTCGTTTAATTTTAAAAATTATTCATTTAGCTGATCATGATTCATGTGCAATATTAGCAAGTTTAATATTTGCAGCCAATTGTCGAATATGGCTTTATCGATTTTTATATTCAAATTCTGTAAGATTAGAAAACAAAATTTTCTTTATGATTTTTTTTTCGATTATTTTCTTCTAGCATATTCAAGATGTAAAACATCTTTTTAATCGTTTTTTAACAATCAAAAGTATTCCAGTTGTTCAACAAGTTTATCAAGCTATGTTAGCTGATATGACATCGAATTTTAATATACTTTTACAAGCGCTTCAATAGAAAGCAATTGTTATTGGTAGTGAAACATTATTATCTCCAACCACGACTAATTTAAATGAAGATGATGCAGAAGCAGCATTGATTTTTGATTGTAGTGCGTTGTGTTAAATCGGAAATGTGACGAAAAATTTAATTGGAGTATGTTATTAAACAATATTTGATAAGGAAATATAGTTTATTTTCTGTAGATGTATGCACTTTCACCACCTCTTCAAAATATGTACAGCTGGGCACACATTGGCTGATAGAAGGGATGAGGACGAGGCTGCATGCGCATTCTGAAAAAGTACCTTGGTTTGACTATGGTGATGAGTGCACTAGTACGAATTCGTTTGGAGATAACTCTAACCTGCACATGAAGAAAATAAGCATTTAAAGCATTGCGCAGTTTCATAAATATTTGTTTTGAGTTAAAAATTATATTAGATTCATATACAGATAAACATGAAATATACTTCTCCAAATAATCGATTGTACTGACGAAAAAAGTTATTTTTTTCATTATGGCAGCCAAAGATATGCATAATACGAACGACATTCGGAATATACTACGGTATATTTCCATGCGTAGCCAACTACAAAAGCAAATATAGAAAAGAATTTTTTTTAAATACTTTGTATTTTTGTGTTAACTATTCAAGGAAGTATCTACCATTATATTTGACCTTCTTTATATGAAATGACTCAGAAATTTTTCATCAAATATGCAGAATAAACACAAAAAGAAGAAATAATCTCATTCATTCATTCATTCGTCTGTTGCCAATTACATAATCAGACTAAGAATATGTCATTGTTTTCATTGACGAAATCGGTCAGATAGAACGAACATATATAAAGATGCAATTTCTGATCTTAATAAGATAAGAAAAAGAAACATACATATACACATAAATATGAAATCTTCACGTATTAAATTGACTGATTTACCCGATGAAATTCTTTTGATTATTTTCAAAAAACTCAATAATATCTCGTTGCTTTATTCGTTACTGGATATCAATAAACGATTAGATAAAGTTTTACATGATTATATTTTCACAAATACTTTGACATTGATGGAATATTTCTCAATTTATCATATCTCTTCATTACCTAATCCAATAGTTGATCGATTTTGTTTGCGTATCTTACCTAATATTGAACATAAAATCAAATGGTTTAATCTTGAAACCTCATCTATGGAACGTATTCTTCTTTCTGGAAATTATTCTAATTTATCTGGACTTGGAATATATAACTTTACGAAAGACAAGGCGTTACATTATTTTACAGGTAAAATATAATGTATTGAAAATTTTTTAATAGTAAAAATCAAGAGAATTAATTTAACTGGAAGATGTGAAAAACAATATTCATATTCTATTTAGGTCAAACTTCATTAACTCATATATTCAAAAATCAGATCGTATCACTTGTCATTCACACCATTGGCCAAGAATATTTGTCCATTGATCTCAATGCACTTATAATTAGAAATATCATTACTATGTTTCCTAATTTAAAATTTTTAAATTATAATCCGTATGATAGTTATTATCAAATCATATCATTCGCGAAATTGCCTCTATCGGTTTGCTCATCAACTTTATTCGAATTACATATTAACGTTAGAAATGCTGAAGATTGTCTTCATTTACTTGATGGCCGTTTCAATCAACTCCATGTATTCAATGTTAAAATACAATCAGCACTTTTTTCAATTCCAACAATATCTGAAGTAGATTTTTAGTAATTTAAAATTGATTGAAAATTATTCTATTTTGGCTTAGGAAAAACTATTAAGTCTAAGATATTTTTCATTGACCTGTGTTTCGAAAATGTATTTCTATGATACAATAGTTATACCGCTTTTACATCGAATGTCAAATTTAGAAGAACTTCGTTTGTATTTTAATTGTTCTCGAGAAGAATCATTTGTTGATGGGAATGATTTGAAAACAAATATTCTAATTCATTTGCCACGGTTAACGACATTTAAATTTAATATTTGCTCATTCATTAATCATTATAATCAAAGTGATTTATTATCAAATGAAGATATCCGAAATACATTCAGAGACTTTTCAAATAATGAAATTATTTCTTGTGTTGATTATTTTCCAGATGAAAACAAAGGTCAATGTCATATTTATTCATATCCTTTTACATTGATTAGTTATGAACGTATTACAAATAATTTTCCATGTGGATTATTCCCATATGTTCGTAAAGTATCATTATTTGATGAACAACCTTTTCAACATGAATTTTTTATTCGAATTCAAAAATCATTTCCATTCATAAAAAAACTAACTGTAACTAATTGGAAAGCACAAAATCATAAACAACATGAGAAATCAAAAGATGACAATAGAGATTTATCATTAATTCATTATCAACATCTTACTTCTCTTTTTCTTACTGAAGTTCATGATGATTATATTGAAGAATTTCTACTTGATACCAAAACAGCCTTACCATTTAATCTTACCCTTTATGTTGATTATTATTCTATACAAAGAGTAACACATCATTTTAAAAGAATTGAAACAAGAATTAATTGTTCAAAAATCAATTGTGTATATTTGGATAATGTTCATCACTTTTCAAAAGATTTCAGAAACTATTTTCTTAGTACTGAATATATGTGATTATTTTGTATTCTTGTTTGTATAAATGATTGATTTTGTACATAATAAATGTATTACAATATTGTAGACAATGATTTTAGACTGATGAGGATCAAAATGTATAATATACAGAATGGGCCAAAAGTAATCTAACACTGAATTCTTTTCAATTTTTTCCTACTAGGTCGATAGTAAGTTCTCATATTTGAACTATATATACTATATGATAATACTCAGAAGCGACTTATCAGCAGCCTTTGTATTTTAGGATTTGGTGAAAAATTTGCGAATGTTTCATCTGTACTCTAAATCTTTTGTTATCTGAAAAAACTCGCCTTTATAGAGATGATTTTTGAGGATATTGTTCAAATATTCTGGTGACTACTCACCAGTAAAATTGGACTAGCTTTTCACCAACTCATCCAAATGCACTAAAAGTTTGGATTTAGAGGTTTCAGATGATGCCGGTTAAGATGAAAATAAAAAATGGAAAAATTTTTTTTGACGACTGCTTCAATATCTGACATGATACGCGATGGTCTCATGGTGGCTCTCTTAATAAACCGCCATGCCATGATAAATGAGGGTGATAAACGATATGCATAACGATCAAGTATAACTAATTCATAACCATGTAATTGGAATTCGGCACCAACTTTTTGAGTCTAAAAGAAAACAATTTTAAGTATTTACTTTTTTTTCTGAATAAAATTCTTTACTAAATCATAATATCTCGCAGCATATTTTCTTGGTTGAATCACTTTTGTGACAATAGATGGATATAATTCATTAACACGAGCTATATTAGATAAACTAGCTAATGTTAAAAGAACAAGAACAATTTCAAATGCACATTCAAATGTTGATGTAGAATAAGCAAGAAGTGAAAGTAACGAAGCATCTAGAAATAAATCAATAGGAAATTTTTGTTTGAATTTCATTTTTATCATTCGTTGAAATAAGTGCAGCACAACGTGTTTTATCATTTGTAATTGGTTGTTTCATACGATCTTTAATAATAATAGGTAAAATGCTATTTGAAAGATTTGCATTCGCTGTTTGATATGGTTTACGATATTTAAATGAATTTTTTTTCTTTTGAAATAAATCTTTTAATTGTATATAATCTTGTGTATTGACTGTATCTGAACTACAATGACGTGTGATTAATAAATCATCTTCATTAATTATTGGATGAGTTGTATTATTAAATTTAATCAATTCTTTTTCCGATAAACCTGCATATAAAGAAATAAATGTTGATAATGATATTGTTGTTGTTTTGAGAAGTGTACAATCAAGTTGTTGATATGCTTGTTTAGTTCCTTGATAAAAATGTTGAATTGAACGTCGAGATCAGATTGGAGATGAACGACATTGAACACAGGGTGTACTAGTACATATAAGATCATTAGCAAAACGAACAGTTAATTCATGATCAAGATATTCAAAGATAGTTTGACTATCACTCATATCTCTATCATTTAAATTGAATAACTAGAATAAAAAATAGTTTTTGTTTTGAAGAAAAATATTTTTCTTACAGCACCTAATAGATTTAAACTTATTGTTGATAATATAAGAACAGATTGTGTGTGAGTTTTCAGATCGATTTTATTTGTAAGATCATAAAATAATTTACCTTCATGTTAATTAAGATCATCAAAATTTTTATTATTTTGTTTAATATTCATATGTTCTAATTTTGATATTTCAGATATTGTACCAAATGGGCGTTCAAAATCTGTTGGTTCACTTTCATCTTCTTCATTATCATCAGTTGATTCATTTTCGTCACATCCTTTTTTCTTGCTCAGAATTTTTCGTATTACGACGAGCACTTATACCATGGCCACGTTTATTTGCTGCCATAGTAATTGTTGTTTTCCTTTTTCGTTTCTTCTTTTTACCATTTGTTAAACATACTGTCGATAAATGATGACAATCAGCATGTTTTCTATATCTAAAAATATATTTTAGTATTCATATGAGAAATCAAGTGACATCTCTCATGTCAATGACATTCGATATTCTGCTCAGGTCAATGAATCCGATAGCATCCTAAATGGACCCTATCGGATTCCAATAAAATTCGATCGGTCCTATCGGATTATTGTCGGAAACCGGGTTATGCGAAAACGTGATGGAAACCCAAATGTCGGAAATCTTATCGATCCTACTGTCGAAATCCGATCGGAAACCGCTGTCGACAACCGATAAAAATCTTACTGACGGAATCCCATCGGTTCTCACTATTGGTGATCGATCAAATCCTATACTCGAGACAATGAAAACGTCGCAACACACTATATACACTGTTCACAAATTACAAATAACAATATATGATAACCAAACATATTGGGATAGAATTCCGAAACGTGAATTCTATAACATAGTCCACTAGAGTCTCTCATTACAAGCACTGCACGTCAATAATAAAGACTTTTATTAAAACAGCAAACAAAACTAATTAATTTTCTTCCTCAATAACACATTTAAGGAACTATAACTTTACACGTAGTTCATACTTAAAACTGCCGTTCAACAACATAACGAAAATGATCTACAAAAATCGACAAAACTGAATCAAAAGGCACTCAAGATCGATCTTATTTCAACTTCAAATTATCTTATAATATTTGTAATAAATCCAGCGCAAATATATCCATACCTACTAAAGCAGTAGCGATCAAACTCCGCCGAGAAATTTTCTACTAAAAGAATGACTACATATTACATCTTACAATGATGTCGTGAGTTGCCGGAAAATAGAACGGTCTGTAACTCCGTTTAAAATAACCTATCAAATAATACTAATCACCGATCATAAAAAACAAATAATCAGACTCGGTTATCAACATTCATTAGAATGTTACCCAATAACTATAAGTCGAAAACAAAGCAAGACTACAACAGATACAAAAAGTTCAATAGCTATATGCAACATACATAAGCAAATAACGATCCATTTCCACAGCTACTCAGAACAAACATAGGAATAAATATCAATCAATGGTAGAAACTAAAAATCGTGCCTCCATAACCATCTCTGAAAACCATTCATCAACTATTCCGGAAAGCATTAACCGCAACATACCAAAGCCTTATATTAGCCACAAACCCACAATAACTTCTAAACATTCACACAACATGTCCATCATTCAGCAACATGTTTCCTTAACGATACTTGCAACCAAAGGAAGATGAATCGTCTGAAAAAATATTTATCCCTTTTCCTTTTCATAAAAATAAATCCATCCGAACGAAAAGATCAATGAACAGCTTTTCAGACAATTCCAGATGACTAATTTCATACTCCGAAATCCAGGAACTGGAATTCATCGGAAACTTGAGTATTCGACCGTCAGATCCGTCACAAAATCCGCAACCTGGAATCCTATCGGATTTTATCGATTTTCAGGTTCCGATAGGATCCGTTATCGAATTTTTGACCTGGGTGGAAATTCGTCCACTTGTAATATATACTCATTCTTGGTTTTGATCCTACTTTTACTATTGAATAGCTTGTCTATCAAAATCCGATTTAAATAAAAGATCATCAACATTAGCATGTTGTTTAATATATTCACATCCAGATACTGATTGAATTTGTGCTTCTTGTAATGTTGAACTATAATCAAGTATATTGAAAATTCTTCCATCATTTATTGTTATATTAATTGTTTCTCCTTGTTCATTATTATGTTATTATTACTATTAACATCTGTTTAATTATGAAAGATTTTCACTTTATTATTTTCTATTGCTGTAAATATAACTTTATTTGATACTGATAAAGAATTTTTAGCTGATGTTATTGTTGTATTAACACAATAAACACGGCGTTTTTTTTTCTATTAGTGGTAAAATAGGTACTGATGGTAAATCAAATGCATATTGAAGATATATATCTGATTCATATAATGAAAAAAGTACTTCAGCTTCGGGTTTATCAAATGTCGATATAGAATCTAATAAATAAATATCATTATTATTTGTACCTTTAATAAGTAATCGAAAACCAAATACAGTGCAGCTCAATAGAATTTA